GGTACTTGAGTTTTGGTTTCATGTTGAGTGCATTGTTGTGACAACCCATGAGGGCAATTACTAATTGCCAATTATAGGCGTGATAGTTTCTTTCTTCCTCATCTAGACCTGCTGCATTTTAAGTAATATGAAGATATTGAAATAAGTGTCCCCTACCTAATAGACATCATTAATTATATTGCATTATTTCATTTTAATTTAAACCTAATCTACTTCTGAGTCCACGGCTGACAGTCATAATATAAAAAAAACCTGAAAGAAATGTACATTTATACTTTTAATGAGAAAATAAATAATAATGGTTTAGCAAACAAAATAAATGTAGACTGGATATAATAGCTGACACTAGAACACCTTGACTTTGCTACATTGTTTGGTAAACTGGCTTCAGTAATATAGCTTAGCAGAACTAAAACTTACAGTTTTATGAGGTCATTTTGAGTGTTTCATTTTCTTTGACAGGGTCATACACTATCTTTCGACCCATAAGCACAGCCCAATCTGGCCACAACTCAACCTGCATGGGGGCCAGATATGACCCATGCCTGTTTGGTGTATGGCAGTATACATTCCAGTGTATATGTGATAACTGTTCACTCATGTAGGAGCATAGATGGAAAAGGGTGCAGCTGTGACATGTCCATTCTTTACATCATGCTCTTACTGCCCTCCAGTGTCGAAAGGGTGAACGTAATGAGAAGTACACACAGTGGAGACAAAAAACAACAACAACCAATTCAATCCAATAACTCCAGAAAACAGTTTCTTCGTGAAGCAAGTATTCAATTTATGGTACATTTTCAGGCTGTTAATAGATTAGGACCTAAATAAACGATTAAATCAGAATCAGCTGCAGGCTATTATGTATATATATGTTTATGTGTACACATTCATGTCACGGCCCGCTGGCCGTGACCCTGGCCTCCTTCATGGTATGTGTGTGAATGTAGTTTGTGTGTTTTTTCTCCCTTTTGGTGTCCGTCTCTGTGTTTTGCTCTCTCCCACCTGCTCTGGAAGCCACTGGTGGGCGTGGTTGCTGGAGTGCCTGCCTTCACACCTGTGGCTCATCACACCACTCAGCACACCTGTTCCTCATCCAACTATCAACTCACCTTTATAAGCCAGGCTGACCTTCCAGTCCCCACCGGATCGTTGAATCAGCTTGTATGAGAACACGCCAGCCAACCTGAACTTGCACTCTTGTGAATTACCTGTTGGTAACTTGCTTTTTTCCCCCTGTCTCACCTCAGACCATCTCGCCCTCCACCTGGACCCAGTTCTGCCTGCCAGCACTGCAAGACCTAGAGCACTGGAGCCCGGACCCCATTCCCACTCTCTGACTCATCTGAATCTCCAGCCACTCAAACCACGTTCTGTTTGTGCAATTTCAATAAATTCACCTTTATTTAAACTTCAACTCTGGTCTGCGTTTGAGTTCTGGTCACCGGTCCTGACAATACAAGGTTTTTCATTGCTCTCTAATAGACATACAGCTGAGAACAAGGACATCAAAGCTGAACAAAGGTAAACATAAACATTTAAATATTATACAAATACAGGTAGGAGAAAATGTATATGAATGTATATAAAAAGTATAGGCTATGTATCTGTATATAAAAGCAACAATGAACAGCAACATACAACTGTTTCTGTGAGTTGTAATCAAAAAGAATACAATAATGCAAAGTGGGCTGGAATAAATATTGGATGATGAATGTAATTACTGTTACTTTATACACATGGAGTAGGTGGATATGCCAATATATGAGATATAGAGCATGCTTTGTTTTTTATTTGACAGTGATATATACATATTAAAAAAACAGTGTAAATAACATCTGACTTCATGGAAACAGCTATAACTTTAATTTTATTTCTCATTTGTAGACATTGTGCCTTATGTCTATTCAAGATAATCAAGGGGGTGGGGAATGGGGGGTTGGGGCCATAGGTTTTTATTTTTTACAGGGTTTTTATTTTTATACAATACTACATTGGTGTATATTTTATAACAATGTGGAATATGTCTGCTCAACCCTGCAAGTTTTTGTTGAAACTTTCAATAAAAATGGAGTGGATGTTTAGTGTTACATGTGACTTACATGTGATATCTGGGCAGGTAAACCACTAAACAGCTACATTAATACCACCAGAGTGCCCAGGAGGTTATAATGTTATGGCTGATCGGTGTACACTATCCAATAAAAACTGTTCACAGTGAGATCTGTGGATTACCTAGAAGTTACAGTACATTTTAATGCTAAGCACCATAAACAAATGAATGAGGGTGTTTACACCATACTTGCCATTTCTCAATGAAAGTGCACGTTTTTGTTCAGGTCACCGGGGTCATGTAATTCTCCGGTGATGGCATCCCTGCAGAGGCATAACAAGGTCACATTTTTAAAGCTTTCTAGTCCTTGTAAAATGTTACAGTTGATGTGATGTGAATGGTCTAATGTAAATGTCAGGCACCATAAGGAGCATATTTTTTAATTTAATTACTGTTAATCACCACTAAACGAGGGCAGGTTTGAAATTATGTTATGATGTACCGTGTTGAAAAAAAAGGCTTTTTATTAAAAGGGTTTGTACTGTAGATTTTAGAAAAATACAACACAATTTTTAACATGCATCCAACTTTTACCTCATTGTTCAGTAAATGTCGGCCACATGTTTTGTGTCCCATAACGCCTGCTTCTGTCTGTGGCAGAAGAAACAGACCCTCACCTCAGTATTCACTTAAATTGGTTTTAGATTTTAAAACCAGTTGTGGATAACTTTATGGGGCTATTGGCAGACAACTCTTTCTACTACAATTAAGTTGAACTACTTTGCACTTGCTGATATGTCTGCCCCCAAAGACGTGAGCCAACAGGGACAGTATAAACAAATAGAAAATATGGCCCAAAAAAAATAGAATAATAGCTACATGAAAGCAAGAGAGAAAGATTGTTTCCACTGCAGCAAAGTAGAAAGTCGGTCATATGAGTGAATATGTGTACAAGGACGTACAAAGGATCATGTGTTGAGAAACAGTTCACTTCCTCCAAGACAAATGGACTGTATATTTACTGCATCAAACAAACAATGTGATTCTGACTTAATGTGGTCTGTTACATGAAAACAATACAATCACTTTACATTAGGCCTAGACTCTACTGATGTCCACATACTGTAACAGTCTGGGTTCAAATCTGGATGCTTTCAGTCTGAGTGAGGTTTTATTGATGCACTATCAGTATATTAGCCTCAGCTGGGATGTGAGCTGAAAGGAAGACAAGTCATCAATGTTGGAGAGTTACATTTCATAAAGAGGCAATAGTACTATGTATGATTACAGGCATCAGTGTAAATTAAATGTTCTTTTGTTGTTGCTTTTGTAGTTTTACAAGTAGGCCTATGAAAGATTTAAAAAACTTAAACCTGAAGAGTGACTCTTACAAGTAGAAAGTTGAATTCATGAGGAATAATTGACACCCATACTCACTTCAGTACACTCAGGGTTTTTGTTGCTACAACCTTACTTGTTCTGGTATGACCAGTAGCTTATGCTGATAGCAAACTTTTTTTTTTGAGTCATGGCTGTACTACTTTAACGCTAGGTTTTATCACAATAAACAAGAAGTAAACTCACCATAGAAGAATGTGTGTTGTGGTCCCATTCCACTTGCTCTCAGCCAGGTCACCAATGATGATGTCTTTAAAGCATCTGGCCCAAGAGAATCTTGTGAAATTGAATGTGCCACTATCCTGAAGTCTCAGCTTGTGGCCACAGTGGCCGCTGTACAGTTCTCTCACATTTGACCCTTTCAGTGCAGGGACAGAGTTGGTCCCTGCACATGTTCTTCTAGCAATAAAACCATCTACAACACACACAACTTTGTTCAACACAGCTGTCAACACATCTGCCTGTTTCTGACTTTGAATACAGATATACAGTAAACATAGCTGTTCACACAGCAATTATACAGCTAATTATACTGTAGCCATGTCTATTATGATGTTCTATTATATTATTTTTGGATGTTTTATCATATTGTGGTTTACTGTACTGTAAACTGTACTGTACTATCACCTATGTCACCTGCTACTTGTTACCCTGACACCTGGAATCAAAAGGTTTTAAATATTGGTCTTTGTCTGTCTGTAAAGTAAAGATTAATCTTAATGCAACGCAACAGGAAGCAATTCTGATCTATTTAAGCTTTACTGCAGTTGATACCTTTCATATATCAGGGAGACATCGCCCTCCAGTGATACAAATTTCATATTGCATCAAGATGTTTTCTGAACATTTGGAGCAGTTAAATTCTTAAATTCAAGGATGGAAGGATTATTAACACATTACTTATTGCTTGAATTACTGGGAGCTGTAATAAACAAACACACGTTTTGGTCTGACTTATAAGGCATCCACTTCTTTTGGTTAAACTTTTAGACTTTCTGTGATCATTATTTTTACTTTTTAATAACACCTGAGAATGTTACGCACAATTATGACTTATTATATTATAATTATCTCATCGCGCTGAGATAATATGCCATAATTAATAGGAAGGTTTGAGAAATAGTCTTATAATGTTGATATGTCATTTTTGTGAGATGTTTTCTGTATTCTCAAGTCATAACTATGTCATACTATCTCATAATTCTAATGATTTGACATAGCATCTCATAATTATGATATAAAACATAATTAAAAGACAATAAGTCATAATAAATTCCAAATAACAGGGTTTCAATCAGCATTTAGTTTCTTCACATGCAAAGTACATGACTCATGATGTATGTATGATGCATATTACAATAATTACTGCACATTTATTAACAAGGTAAATACAGTTTTGTTGGACATGAGCTCATGTTTGCCCAGCGGTTTTACAGGGTGCTGTTCCAGTTAGTGTCCACTAGATGTCAGCGCTGCTCCAGATATTTCAGACTAGTCAAAAGCCTGCAGCACTTCACCATCATGCTAAAGAAATATTCAGAAAACCAGATCATTTTCAGACACAAAATATTTTATTTGAAGCACTTAGTTCTGACTGATATACATTATCCAACAGCTAATTCATTAGCCCACTCCATATACCTTGAACAGGAAGCCAGCATTGCGTTACTTTACTGTCCATCACAGCAGCAGATCCAAAACTACCCAATCCATACAAAATTTCACAAAAATACAGACGCCAGCCAGCAAAATATCAAAACCACATCCATTTTGTCCTAGTCACGTTGAATGCTTGGAGACATTTCTACAAACATTATCAAAAAGCAAGTTGTTCCAAGAATATATCAGCATTAGCTTCCATACAAAACTCCCACTGTGTTATTGCAGCAGCAAACAAATACTGTGAAATGTCTAAAAGAAGGGAACTTAGAGCAAAAGTTGGCATATTACTGTGCACAGATGCAAGAAGGACATGGTTTGTTAGTGTCATGACAGTAGGATATTGTATATGTGGAAGCAGTCAGGGTCATGGCCTGACCATGCTGCAGCACTCTAGCATCTGATTTAACCATTGACCTGAAGGATGGACTGGCCCTAGTCAGTGAAGAAACCTATTAGCAGCTGAGTCCGTTGCTGTTTCCTCAAACACATACAGGGAAAGACAGATAAGAGATGCATCTTTGTGTATTGTGAGTGGCTCGCTTTCTCCTTAACTTCCCAGAAAGTGCCTGTAGCAGCAAACATGATGCCCTTCCTCTTACAAAAAAACAACTATTGCTTTAGTTTTTTTTTTAACTCAACTGGTGAGGTCAGAGGAACACTTTTTATAAGGAACTTAATCCACAAAAGATGTGAAGGTCTTGGTCAGTTTTGATGCATTTATTTTAGCCTGACAAGAATTTTTATTTATCTTTGGCAAATGTGCTAAATGTAGGAACTGTGAGTATACACTATGAGCAAAATAGCATTCTATTCATATTCGGTTTACAATAATCCTCTTGTATAATATTTCTGATGTTGTTTTTTTGTTGTTTTGTTTCATGGAGGTACCAAGTTGACATGCGGAATTTGCTTTGACTGAAAACATCCCCTGAATTACAATTCCTATTATAGTAGCTGTCAAATAGCACAGCATTACAGCAGACCCTCCTGTACATTCTGTCTCATTTGCATAGAACCTGTGTTGCATCGTTCATAAAGCGCACTACAACTGCTTCCATTGTTTGTTTTTTTATACAACTTCCAACAAAACACTTGTTTTTGTTACCAAAGTCACCGGTCAACTAGTTAATATGTTCTAAATAATATCTATTCTAACTACAAAAGTGCACCAAATCAAACTGAACACAGAAAATGCACAAAATAACCTACGGTCACTGTCATTGTGTCATTATCTACAGTCGGGTACAAATATTGTTGCATTCATTCAACACAAAAACAAAAAATTTTCCTTTTAAGGCTTAACCCTGCAGACACATTACATTGCCATGCAAATACACAGATTCATTGTAAGCAGGCAATGAGACACTGAGAGAGAAAGCTGACACTGAAGATGTATATAAGGTCTTCTGCTTATTCCAGTTCTGCTATGACACATTTATTGTGTTACTCTGGATCCCACACACACATACTATGTAACCTTTTCAGGCTTTTCAGGCAAAGCGAGAACAAAAGGAAAAAGAACGCCTTTTGCCTCCAGAGGCGCTTTCAGCGGCTCCTCGACAAAGTAGGCGCTCTCCTCCTCCACTACAAACTGAAGAGTCTGGCTTTTGTTCACACAGTAGATGCAGTTCCCGATAACGGCACACCTGAATGGTAAGTGACTTCCGAGCCTCTGCGATGCGCAATCGTGCCACATTTTCACTATGGTGTTGTACTTGAACACGGTGATCCCCTGCTCACGGTTGACATCGAAGCGGTAAATGAAGCTCTTCATGGCCACCATGTCTGTGGACTTCTTCCTGCTGTTGTTGTAGGGGCACTCCTGCCACTCGTCCCTCTTGAGGTCATACTTAAGAAGGCGGTAGAAAAGGGAGCCTCCTGAAACGTAAAGCTCTCCGCTGCAGGTTGTGGCTTCATGGGCCACTGCGAAGGCTCCCTTGGGCAAGGGGGCCACTGTGGTCCAGCGGTCCATGCGAGGGTCATATTTTTCCACTGTAAACAAACATTCCCCTCCAATGGCGTATAAGTAGCCATCCATGGACACAAGCTTAAGCTGGGCACGAGCTTGGATCAGAGGTCTGACCTCAGTCCAAAGGTTGGTTATGGGGTTGTAACAGAAGACCTTGTCTGAAACTTTGCCCTTTTCCCCGTAGCCCTTTATTCCCCCTGCCACAAACAGGTAGTTATACATGGTGCAGATCCCACACCCTTTAGTGTTTATGTCCTCAGGCATCGCAGTCAAAGGTCTCCAGTCATTTGCTGTTTCGTTAAAGTAGTAGATCATATGATTCTCCTCCAAAGACCCAACCGACAGCGGGCTCTGTGGCCGGCTCCCGCACCGGCTCGGCGGCCGGCTCCCAACGCGATCAAACACATCGTTTATCTCTGCCACCATCAGAGTCTGCCTCCCCTCCATTCTCTTCTTCAGGATCAGATCCCGCTCAGATCCAGTCAGGCGCCCGTAAACAGCGGGGTCTTTGAGGATCTGGAGGAAGTTGTCGCTCATGAATCCGTAGGCAGTCTCTTTCAGTTCACTGAGTCGCTGCTTTTTGGCAATGGTCAGGATCTCGTAGCAGTTCTCTGCAGTGATTTGTGCGGACATGGAGTCCATGGCCGCCTGGACGGCACAGGGGATCTGGAGGATTTTAGCCCCCGTGATGACGTCTACTACATTGTCCTTGCAAACATTCATCTGAGAAGTGTAAACATAGTCTATCAACGTAGACAAAGTTTTGTAGCTCAAGCCCTTCACTTTGAGGATGTCTCGTGACAGACGTGCTTTGAAGTAGTCACTCTTCTCTGCCAGGACAGACTTGTGAGCGCTGATCGTCTGCCCGCCGACTTCGATGACTAAATCGGGCTCTTTCTTAGACTGTGTATTTTCAGCTTCCTGGCTGCTGTCCCTGCGCTCGAGGTCTGATTTTAGGACTGACCAATCAGTTTCCTGTTTGGCTTGGTTAGGCGAGCATATGGAGGAATCTGCACTGTAAGACAGTTTAGCTCTGGCGCCATTGTGGATTTCACTTCTTGCACAATTTTGCTGCATGCCAGCGATGTGATTGGCCACAGCGGAGTCAGCGTGAGGAGGGAGATCCGGAGCTGGCTTATTGTTGGGGAGGTGAAATTTATCAGCTCTCGGGACGTACGAGCCGTTACCCTTCTGATGGTCGACGTGGTTGTTCTCCATCAGTCTTCCATCCAACAGGTATTCCTTCTCAAACACCGGAGGGGGGCTGAAATCCTGCTCGCCCTGCAGGAACCCTTGGACGTAACCTGGACATAGACTCCCACTTTTGTCCGGAGGTGTGACAAGGTCAGGGTTCACGGCATGGAGGATGACATCAGCCTCCACAGTGATAGCCCCTCCTCCCTGCCTGTGGCCCTCGTTCATCTCGACTACTCACTGGCGATGGGAGACTGCGCCTTCGCCGATCATGCTGGGTGGGTGGAGAGTAGATGGACGAACTTGTGACTGCACTCCTCTCCCTTCACCTACATAGGGGGGGGGGACAAGGTGGGAAATTAACCAAGGTCCAACAGAGGAGGGGGAAAAAAACGAGTCTTATAAGGCTGCAAATACCTCTGTATTCTCTAAGGGGCGCCCTTTCTCTAATAACAAACAGCTTGGAAACCGTGAAATTCAAAAAGGAAAAAATGACTTTGGGCTGCCGTTGCCAACTCTGCTGTGTAATCCACTCCTGTATAAATGTGTCATCAGTTGGGTCAGAGCAGCTGCAGCAGCACTGTGGGAGGTTTTTATGTGCAACATCTAAAGCCTAAAGAAATGGAAGCAGCCCCAACATGCAGCTTCTTGTGTCTGTACACTGCATGACCTACTGCAATAATCTGCCTGCCTGTCCATTATTTTGTGGTAATCTGGAGATATTCAGAGCGCATGCGCAAATGGTGTTGCGCTGATGGGGGGGAATTAATCTCTTATGACTGGGAAAGGAAAGGGCGTTTTTGTAATTGTATCAAAACTCTTGTCTGACGCATAGTGTCAGACAATGAGAAATCCGACGTTCAGCCAAATCGAGGATACATATAAGTATTTTTAACGTCGCTTCATTTGAACGTTATTACAATCCACAATGAGGATTTGCGTCCGTTGACAGCAACGTGACCTACCTGCGTTTCCTCGCTGTGATTGAACAGCTCGGTACCAGCAGTTTCCCTGCCGGTCCCTCCACGAAAGCTCAGTTACGTAAAACGGGCGCAATCCCGATGAAACCAGCCGGGTTGCGCTCCCCCCACGTTGGATGGCTTTCACTTCACCGACAGTCCCATCGGGTCGATCCCATCCGTTCACCTTTTCTCTCTCGACCCGCTCCGCTGCTGCTCCACCCCGCTCCTCCTGCACCGCGGAGACCTGCCCGGGATCAGCGGCGGACTGCGAGGCGGAGGGCGACGATCAGTCACTTCAGGTCGCACCTCCTCTCCAGATCAGCCGTCGCAAAGTAATATCCTCCGGTGGAAGTGGTAGGGAGGAAGGAGGTGGGGGGGGGGGGGGGAGAACTGCCGCGCACGTTCCGTGTCTTTTTACCCCTCCAGCAGCCTGCAGCTCGTCCCGCGTGGACAGCAGAGGCTCTCGCTCTCGGACCCTGATAGCACTGTGATTTTTGTTGTGAATGTTTTTTTTTTTTTGTATCTTACAGTTGACTACAGTGAGGCGGTTATCATTGATCTAAACCACGCCCCCTCCGGGCGGTGTTAACCCTACACTCAACAGCAGGAGCACGAGGCTCCATCTGTTGTGCGCGCGCTGGACGCATCCCAGAGATGCGACATTCCTTTACGCATCATCCCTGTCCTGGGTACCACGATGGATGGGGGGGGCGGGGTCAGGGGACTGAATATATGAGAAATCCCCCTTCCCTCCCCTGCTAACACACACATATACCAAACCCAACAAAGCCCCATATAATACAATGCCTATTAGAGTATTACAGGGCTGCTGGTACACATTAAAATACAATTAAACACCAGACTCTCTGAGCCCCTAAAGGGATTTCATATAACATTATTAAAAATCAATCAATAAATATCCCATTAGTACACTCCACCTGTTTGTGCATGAGACAATTTATTACAATATCTGTAGAACTAGTTGCTCTCTAAGTGGGAAGCCTAACAATGCCCAGGAAATGAGTCACACTTTCTAACTATAGCTGCAGCATACATGCATATGTGTATAGTAAAAACAGCACTATTGTGATTTGTGTGGAAAAGTGACTTTAGAATTGGAAATGTTTGTGTGCAGTCATAAAAGAGGCACACAAGACATACACCTTCAACATGCGAAAAGGCCTGATAACAAATAGCACAGCCTCACAGGGCAGCAGCAGCAGCAGCAGCAGCAGCAGAGCAGATGATGTTTATGTGTCCATAACCTCTCTACCGTGGAGACTGCGTGTCTCAACAACTGGCCTTCAGATAAAAAAATACAGGGGAGCCACTACAAGGACATCATACTCAACTATCAGCCCTGTGAGATTAGAGGGCATTCAGCTGGGAGGTTTTAATACCAGATATTCTGAGAACAAAGACTTGCTGAAGACTGATACACAAAATGAGTGGTCTCCATGGAAACGTCAGGGTCAGAGGGAAAACAAAAGACTTCCAGTTGCAGAGCTGCCTTGATACCAGCCAGTGGCAACACCCAGACAAACTGATAACTGGGTTACTTGGTTGGCACGGTGAGACTGAGGCGTAGCCGTGTTAGACTTGTAGTTAATAAATACATGTATTCGGTTACAGGAGTTAAATATTACCTTTCAAGTCTGCATGTTAACACCAAAAAATCTGATCAGATAATATTTGGGATAAGCCTGTGGTGCCGTGGACTGTAGTATGGGAACATCTCCAACGTGAAATCATCTCGTCTATTTTTGTTAGAACTGATAATATAGTGAAACCTGGTTGTGCAACAGTGGACGTGGGCGTTAGGAGAGAGAAAGAATCTTGACCCTCTCTGTTCGGCAGTGGGAGAAATGAGCATTGAAATCCCGGAAGAGCTGTATCAGGCTCAGTTCCTGCGGCCCCTCAGGCACATTGCTAGTCCCAGCATGCACTGATGGCTGTGCACAAGCAGAGTGGAGTACGAGGTTAGTTTCAGTCAAGAAAAATAGGCACACTGACATTCTTTTCCTCCTCCATGTCTTGAATATGACTTACATTTTTTACCATAATGTCAACTCCTTTACATTTCTTTGAGCTGGAAACTCTAGAAAAGCTGCAACAAAGTGGATGTGTATTTCCCAAGAGGAGAATCATCAGTTTAAAAAAACTACTGAAGGATAATAAGTAAGAAAAACTCACAGAATTGCATGGATGCTTTGAAAATTCAAGTAAATACACAAGGTTGCTCAATAAAACAGTTTATGCATTTGTTAATACAAAGTACATACAAATTGTGACAAAAGTATAAAGCTTTCTTTCTTTTTTTTTAAATATCCTTATGTGAGACACAAAGATGTGATGGGGTGAGGGGGATCTCTCCTGGTGAAAACAACTCTTTCATACCTTTATGAACAGAAACCTGGCCAGCCAGGGATTCTCATCAAGCCTTCCCTAACTCATTCAGTCATCAGTGTTTCACCTTTTTAATCCCTTTTCTGTTAACAGAATGGTAAAAGCAGCGGACAAGCTGGTTCAATAGTGAAGGGATTTGACACGGAGCCTCTCTGACCATAAAACTCACACACGTGTAATCCTGAGTTGTCATACTTCATATTTACAACTCTGGCCTTGACAGATGATCTGGCCAAAAACCTAATCCTAATCTTAATAAAACCTTTATGTAACAGACTCAAAGCTCCATCGCTACCTTACATGCCTTTCTCGTTTCCTTTCAACACTGATTTAAATACTGCAGTCCTATATAGTCAACTGGTATGGCACGAACACTGAAGACAAATGTATTAGCCATGTTACAACAACCAACTTTATCAGGGGGTGTTTTCAAACTTAACAAATACAGTATATCCTTTTACTGGTCTGTAGGGTGCTGTTTGCACCATCATGATTGTGGGTTGTTATACTAATCCTTTGTTTTTATTATGGCAGGAGACATTATTAGAAACTTCATCGGATTACTGTGGATGATGCTTGATGCACTTCTTGTTTCAATGAGACATTTAGTTGTTTTGATTGATCCCAAGTGTTCCATGAAGACAACAATCTCCTTGTGAGTTGTGTGCAGCACTTCTGTTATAACCTGAAAAGAGACAAAGAATATAGGTAAGATCCATATACAGGTCAGCAATTAAATGTTCTACTGGTTATTGATATAATGCTATTTCCAGCTTACCAAGGTGCTATTGTTGTTACACGTTGAGTAAGGGGATCTGCCAGATCATGATAGTAGAGGTGGTGTCCTCATGGCGAGACGGTTTTGTCTTTTTGTTGACCCTGCGGTTGCCCAACCCTCCGGACACCACCAGCAGAGAGCTGACATCTACCTTGCTGGCCCGGCGGCCTTTCTGGTGATGGGCTGGATCATGGAGCATGTCGTAAAGGGCCCCATCCTCGGGCCCGTGCTCCAAGGAGCCCTGGGATGGAGCTAGGGAGCCGCAGGACGAAGACAGGGAGTCCTGGAGAGCCATGGTGGTACAGCCTGCCTCTCCCAACCACACACCCCGTCCCTGAGGGGGAGCCAGGGCTGAATCTGAGGGGGGCTGGGTGTTCTCCCCATCATCGGTCTCTGTTGGCTGGACTGAGGTGGGAGGGGTGGATGACGACACGCCAGAGGGCCGGTTACACACTGCAGCGGCCACAGTGAGGAACTTGACTGGTCCGTTGTGGGCGTGTAGGGACACCATACCCCGACCTGACAACAGTTACAGTCGCTTTAATACTCATCAAGACCTTGAAGTATTTGAAATTTTAAACCAATTCATTTTCTGCAAATATGTCAGAACATCTCTGAGGCAAATCAACCCCTATTGAACCTCTTAGGAAGTATAATTTCAAAGTTCAAATAATTACGAACTACCATCAACAGAAAATCTTAACTTTTAATTAATTAAGATAAATACCAAACTGGTTGTCAGCTTCTCCAATGTGAAAATTTGCTGCTTTTCATTTTAAGATGTCACCTTGGGCTCTCAAAATGTATGATGGACATTTCCTTACTATTTTTTAAAAATCTAAATCATTTTAGACTGATTAATAATGAAAAGAATCCTTAGTTGAGTATATTTGCATATGGGATACAGTAATGTTTCAGTGTTACCTGTGACCTTGGGGATCCCCTGCAGTCTGGGGACAGAGAGGGCCACAGTCACCCCCAGGTTGGTCCCGACCAGCAACAGACCATGACAGACCAGCAGACTGCTCACTGACACTCTCTGGTTCCCTGTGAATACAACAAGAAGCATAACTTAATTTAGTTTAGTTAAACATTTAACTGGAAATATTGAGAGACCGCTAATGAATGTTTCTTGGAAAACATATTCTACCACCCTTAGTAATTTACAGTGTCAAGCATGACCTGTTAGACCTCACACAGATGCAGCGTGCTCATGCACACTGGAAAATCAGAAAAGAGCATAGTTAATGGGCCACTTGAATACTGTGCGGTGCGCGGGAGGGAGCGGGTGTATCTTTTTTGTAAGTGGGGCATTTCTACAGCGACAATGGTTATTTGTCTCCAGGGCAACGTAAAAAGAGCAGCCTGGATAAAAGCAGCTCTTTTCAAGTGTCTGAACACAGAAAAAATGTCCCATTATGGTCCACTTTGAGTCAAACAAACAAACACAAAAGTGTTATGTAACGAAATGAGTGAAGCGTAATGCTGTAATTAAGCAAGGAGCTCTGCCTCTGTGGCAGCTACAACAGGACAATCTGACCTGACCTTTTCCCTTCCATCCTGGTCAGAAAAATCACTGTGATGTCACTTTGGACTGTAAAAGCTGTTATTGTTAAGTTAACAGCACCTTTCAGCATGGATGGCAATAAAGTCAGGCTTGCTGTGTTAGCTGACTTATTATGTGGAGTTTGGCACTCATCGCAGACGTTCCCACACGGGAGCTTTGTCGGGAATAAGCTGTGCAACAAATGGTATCTAGTGAGACATTTTTATCATCATTTTGTATGATTGTAATAAGAATCTGGGGTTTTGTAAAAAAAAAAGTCTTTTCAGTCTTGCCATGTGGGAGGCGAGACTGTCATGAGTCATTACTGCTCTAACAGCTTGACTTGAATTTCCTCCCTCAAAGTAATCCTCTTGGGCTTTAGGAAAAATTACTGCCAGTCTCTCTGACTGACCCCCCTCACTAGAGCTGACCCTTTGCATGGGGCACACACACGCCATACTGCCACACTTCCAGGAATCATGCCAGATAGGCAGGCAGGTACAGTTGAAGACTGGGCCCTGAGTCTTGCCCACATGTGCTTCTAATGAGGGCCCAGAGTTAGCAGAAACACACAGACCGCTGGTCGGGGGCCTTGCTCAACTTCCTCCTTTCATAATATTTGGAGTTCCCCACCCAGAGGGTGAAC